AGCTTCATTCTCAGAACTGTCTGTTATTCCTCTCCTGAATATTAACTCAGTAAATCAACATTTGAATTCTTAGCATAATCAGCACAGCAATTAAAGCTCATCACACCAGTGAGTGCACACAAACTTGATTTACTGGTATTTCTTGGGTGAACACATGTTTATCCTTGCCCTGAAAGGCAAAAACAAATTCTGCCTATTAGAAAAACAATAAATGTACCCTCTTCTGGACTTGACAGTAATGTTTGTACTAAGAGCCAAATGATTTTAATTTTTGACAGTGACTATTGCTCTGTGTACATCTAAAGTTTAATGTGCAAAATCTACTCAAAGAATTCTTTTATTCCTTGAATATTTCTTACTTTTTCTGTAAGTGGAGAAGGCAAGATACAGTTTTGTAAAGCAATTTCCTTCATAATCTAACACCATAGCATCTCTTTCTTCTATTTCATATATCAAAATAATGATAATAAAATAAAGTGAATAAAATTCTTGCCATTTGAATAATTTGCAAATGCATATATGGTATTACTGAAGTTTTACTGAGCTGCAGCTGGCTGCACAGATATACTAGAATTGCCTGTTAGTGGAGAGTACTCAGAGCTGGAAAGTAATGGGGCCACCGGAGGTCCTAAACTCATCTGGATTAATGATGAAGCACCTTCTACTTCAGGGTGACACTGAACAACGTGAACCTGCAGATGATAATGAAAAGTCAATTATGCTTCACATCTAGAAAAGAAACTTATGATAATGTCCCAGTTTACATAAATACAACAAAATAAATTTAAAACTTCAAGGCCACCATTTACTACAAAAAAAATGCATGTGGCAACAAAATATTCTCACCTGCTTTTGAGAGGAAGTATAGAAACCCAGGCCACACATGGAACACACATTCTGACTGCGAGCAATATGGCTTTGTGTTTTTTTATGTCGATTAAGATCACTTTGTGTAACCCCGTTATAGTTACAAACATCACAGCTATATAACTTTATACCTGGAAATCATGAAAGAATGTGTCAATCAAAATAATAATGGAAATCAAATGCTAAAATCAGGGCAAATAGCATGAATAAGAATAATATCATTTTTTACTCTATCCTCTCATACCTTCATGTCTCATCTTGTGTACCTTCAGCTGGCTATTGGTTCGAGCTGAATAATCACAGTATTCACAGTTGTATGGTCTTAAGTCTGTAAATTCAAGCAATTTTAAGAATGTGTAGCTTATATGGTTAAAACTCCCAACTGATCTAGTTTTAAGAAAATGTACTACCTATGAAAAATGAAATGAAACAGCTACAATGAACAGATAAACACTAAAACCATAAAATGGATTTTGCTTTTCTTGTACTCAAGAAGTGGTTTCATCAAAATCTCTTCCACAGCTTATAACAGTATGCATGATGAAACACTAATTCCAGCACTAAAATATAAATTCACCTCATTTCCAACTGCAAGAGATTCACACATTAACAATTTCTCTTTTCCTTAATATTAGCAACAACTCCCAACAAGACCAAACTAACCTTCATGGAAGTCAAGATGGCGGTTCATATCTGAGGTGCTCCCAAACAACTTGTGGCAGTAGGGACATTCAAAAAATGTACGCCCAATATCATCTGTGATAGGCATTAGAGCTTTATCCCGATCTATTGGTTCTTGTACAATGTTTAGCCTGCAATCCAAAACATTTTCACAATTATATCTTGATGCTGTCACAAGTCAATTTCACTTAGAATCAAAAATATTTTTAATGCAATAAAATAAACAAAATCAATTCTTGCCAACAAGCTTCAACTGACCACCTGCCATATGAAAAACAAATTTTAGATCAACACTTGTCTTCTGCTTTCATAAAAACAAAACAGTTCACTCTTTCTTTTCTAACAAAAAAAATCAAAGATACACAATAACCATGTGTAGCTATAATAAATATAATGACAAAAAAGGAGAGGATGGAGAGAGACAGAAAGAAGACAAGGAGACAGTGCAGGGGGGGAGGGAGAAAGGGAGAGAGAGGAAGGGGAAGGGGAAGGGGAAGGGGAAGTGGAGGAAGACAGGTGAGAGAAAAGAGAGAGGGGGAAGGGACAAAAAGAGAGGGGGGAAAACAGAGGGAGATGGGGAAGGAAAAGGTAAGAGAGAAAGAAAAAGAAAGAGGAGAGACTAAAAGATAGATAGAAACAAAAATAAGCAAAGAGAGAAAGAGAGAAAGAGAGAGAGATAAAGAGAGAAAGAGAGAGAGCTAAAAGAGAGAGAAAGAGAAAGAGAGGGGTCATTTCACCTTGGAGCATAGTTTGAGAAATGCGGGGAGTGATCCAGCCCTTCTTCTGCCTGGTCATCTGTTATAACTAATCGTCGTCCACTTTCTCCATCATCAACAATTTTTGAACGCTTATCTAGCCTGATTTCTCCAGGCTCCAATTCATCTCTGTATGTGTCTGTAAATAATGTATGTCTTCTACTAATGCGTGAAGTATCTGTAACGAGACAATTCAAAAGCATGAGAATTTAATATGACATTTATTTTAAGGCTAAATAGCATGTAGATTTCAAGGTGGAAATTAAATTAACTTACTGTCTAAAGATGCAGCAATTATTTTTGTGAGATTTGTGGTATAGGTTGTGACTGCAGCAGACACATCAGAATTTGTCTGCTCTTTCATGGTCTCTGCTAGAGGTGGAGTTAATGATCTTTTGAGGTCTTTATTAATATCCTCACACCTATTCACATTTTTTGAAGATAGTGAAGCCTCTAATCCAGTGGGCTTTCCTGAGAAGTCTGTGATATCAATATGGGAAGTAGATATAAGTTTATTTGCGGTCTCTTTTAAAACATTATTCAATCTATTTTCAGGATACTTCACAGGTACTGGCGATATGGAAGGAGTAGGGGAGTCTTCCTCCCCTTTCTTACGTCTATCTCTTTTAATAAGGTGACGAAGAGATCCATCACTATGAAATCTGATCACATGATGCCTCAAATTTCTTGGCTCTGAGAAGCCTCTTCCACACACACGGCAGAAACATGGTTTGTATCCAGTGTGCACACGTTCATGCCGATTACATGAGAAGGCACGGTCAAATTTTTTGCCACAAAATCTACACGTGTACATCTTGAAGAGATCTTCTCCTGTACTTCCTTCTTGTATTTCCCCTGCTTCTTGCGATTCAGATGATGGAGAAACTGGATAAGAGTCCTCACTAACATTCTCTTCCTCTTCCTCAAAGGTTTCTTTCTGTACAAGGCTATGGGGTCTGTTTTCTTGAGCCTTCTCCCGAAGAGCAGATAAAAGTGCAGCCACTGTGACAGTATTCTCTGCACTACAGGAATCATCACTCATATCACATCTTGTATCTTCCTTATCCCTGAAGGAAACAAACATCAGTTACATATAAAGTATATCTTTTGTCTCTATGTCTAGATGGGAACAGATAAAAGCTTGACAGCATAGTCAGCCTAGTTCCCAGCACAGGCCACAGTCCAATAAACACATTCTTCTCCTTGACATAGTTACAGTCATTGTAATTAATCATATTAGTCATATTTTTGTGCTGCCTTTAAGAATGCTCATTAAGTGTTAACATATTTTCATCTGACACCATAACAACATCCTGATTGTCAACAGTTCCTGGCAACCCCACATAACAAGTGTTACCAGGTGCGAGGGAATATGCTGGCTATGCTATTGACCTTTAATATATATACAAACCCATCTGTGGCCTACAACAGACCAAATTTACTTATTAAGGGGACTGTCTACTACCCTTATTTTCTCATCAATTTATGATTAATCATCCCTCACTACTAATTCATAAAATAAGATCAATTTTCAAGTCCTTAGAATTTATGCTTCATATTTCAATCTCCCAGATCAACATAAAGAAGCAGAACTTCATATTTGTTTCATAGAGTTGCAACTAATATAAAGTCATTCCTACAAAAGGTGCTTCTACCATGAAAATTACCATAACCAAAAAACTTCTTTTACTGAGAAAATCATATATTTACTGAGAAAACCATATGAAAATTATATGCTGTAGTGTATCTAGGGGTCTATATGTGTACCAAGTATGAAGCACTAATGTTAAAAAATATAAGTATAACTAATGATAATATTTCCAGTTTGGAATAGCTCTAGAATTCTGTACTGTCCACCGTTGGCAAATTTGTTTTAGTTTGAAATTTGTCCTTTCCGTTGTAAAGAGAACTTCAGTACAAAGTCCACCGCATGGTTGGAAACGTTAACTTCAGAAAAATAAGTGAAATATTGATTATTTCATGTTGAAGATGATCGTACTCAATGATATCAACTATGAAATAAAAACTGTATGGAATTTTGAAATTGGTCTTGTATATTTGCTTCATAAGGAGTTCATACAGCTAATGCACCCTTTTCATGTGTTTCCAGTAAAACATGTAACCTGAGGACACTACCAATGGTCATAGGTACCATAAATACGGAACATACTGACCACACCCAGGAGTCTAATCATTTTGTTCCTTTATTTGCAAAGATAATGCACTCAAATGACTGAACACCAACATTGTAATGGTTTTCCATGTCCAATAGGCCTTTTTTACAAATATCAATAAAGAAAATTATTTTATCTGGGGCAACTAATATTTTTTCTTTACAGACACATCACCCTTCTCGAAAATTAAAACTACTTAATGACCAGCTTCCCCCTTCCCCACCCCTTTTGGAGCATCGAAAACATTCAACAGCCTTGGAAATTCGCCATAACTATCAAATTTGAACCGCTATGTTGTATTCAAGCTAGAATCATAATCATATAACAATTCTGTACTGACACTGCCACTATGTATGTATATGTATGTATATGTATGTATATGTATGTATATGTATGTATATGTATGTATATGTATGTATATGTATGTATATGTATGTATATGTATGTATATGTATGTATATGTATGTATATGTATGTGTGTGTGTGTGTGTGTGTGTGTGTGTGTGTGTGTGTGTGTGTGTGTGTGTGTGTGTGTGTGTGTGTGTGTGTGTGTGTGTGTGTGTGTGTATGTATGTATGTATGATGGCCCTAGTGACCACACCTGATTTCCCTATTCCTTGAATTTGTGGGAAAATGTGTTTTTCTTTCCAATATTATTAATATTAATATTGTTATCATTCTTATTGATATTATGATTATCAAATTGTTTTTACAATATTAACCCATTGGCCACGGATTTATGTTCTGTCCCCTGTTGGTTTTGGTGAATTTTGCTACCTACAGATGGCTCCACATGTACTCAGCCGGCAAGGAGTCTATCAGTAGTCCCTAGTTACCGACCCTGATTTTCCCATTCATTGAATTGGCGGGAAAATTAATATCATTGCTTTCGATGCTGTTATTATTGTTACTGATGTTATGATGATTGAATTGTCATTAGAATATTTTTGACAATAAGATGATACAAAAAACCCTTTCTGAAAGTGAAGGAAAAGGCTAAACAGGTGAAATAGGTAGTTCTTGATAACTGGCTATTTGGTGATTAAGAACTTGTAGAGCCATCTATGTGTAAATACAATAAATAAACGTGTATCAAAGTGGGTATGGCATCTATTCTTGCCATCCGCGGCCAATGGGTTAATAACATCAAAAACAACAAAATAGAAATTAAGCCTTCCAAAAATCAAGGAAAAGGGAAAACAGGTTGGACTGGTAAGACTAATAGCCGACTTCTTGGTGACAAAGCGTAAAGACAATAGATAACTTTTATTACAGTGGGCATGGCATTGTATTCTTGCCACCATCGCTAACTGGTTAATGACTCTTTTTATCCTCAATACCTAAAAAAATAGTTCATACCACAGCCAAGAGCACAAAGTGTAGGGTAATATGTTTCCAACATTTCTCATTTTTTCTTCAAGCACCTCACTCCCCATAATTCTGACGTTGACTGGAATTAAGGTCTTCAGTCACGACAGGGTTTATATTGATACTGCTACCATTATCATGACATTATAATTATTATAATGTTATTATCAATATTAATAATAGTAAAAAATAAAAATAAATCCTCTTAAAAATCGAAGAGAAGTGGAAAGAGGGAAAATAAGTTGGACTAGTAATTGAATCCTTGATGACTAAGCTTTTGTGGAGCAATCTATAGAGGAACAAAATTCTTGTACCAAAATAACCATGGACATGGTATGTACATTTCCGGAATTATATTTCAGTACACTTGGTGGGTCCCACTTTGTACATCTGGCAACCACTTCATTGCAAATTTTATTTTTTTTTGAATGAGGCAAAAACCTAGGATGTTTGTAACAAAGAGTGTGATTGCTAAAATATAAATAACCAATAAGTGTATTAATATCATTTGATCTTGAATTTTCTTCAAATAATTGATAACAAACCCTGCAGTATTTTTTACTTTGTAGTGGAATATTTTTCAAATATGGTTTCTTAAAACTGTTTAACAAAATGGCAATACCGATGTAGGTGAGGTGTCATTTCCCTTCACAACAAGTATTATGAAAACACTTCATGATAAATATATCTATGTAGGGCAGCTAAAACAAATATATATCTGTAAAACTATTTAGACCTTTGTAAAAGCGGCTATTCAAACCAATTAAGTAACTGTGTTTTCTTTTTGGCAGAACTATACACTGATTAAATAAACAGAATATATAATACACTACATTATTCATTATACACCTTCAACTGAACACAAAACCAAGGTAGGGATAAGAGAGAATATACAGTTGTCTTGTGTGTGTGTGTATGACTGTGTGTGACTGTGTATGTGTGACTGTGTGTGTGTGATTGTGTGTGTGTGACTGTGTGTGTGTGTGTGACTGTATGTGTGTGTGTGACTGTGTGTGTGTGTGACTGTGTGTGTGTGACTGTGTGTGTGTGTGTGACTGTGTGTGTGTGTGTGTGACTGTGTGTGTGTGTGTGACTGTGTGTGTGTGTGTGACTGTGTGTGTGTGTGTGACTGTGTGTGTGTGTGACTGTGTGTGTGTGTGTGACTGTGTGTGTGTGTGTGACTGTGTGTGTGTGTGTGACTGTGTGTGTGTGTGTGTGTGTGTGACTGTGTGTGTGTGTGTGTGACTGTGTGTGTGTGTGTGTGACTGTGTGTGTGTGTGTGTGTGTGTGTGTGTGTGTGTGACTGTGTGTGTGTGTGTGACTGTGTGTGTGTGTGTGCTGTGTGTGTGTGTGTGACTGTGTGTGTGTGTGTGACTGTGTGTGTGTGTGTGACTGTGTGTGTGTGTGTGTGTGTGTGTGTGTGACTGTGTGTGTGTGTGTGTGTGTGACTGTGTGTGTGTGTGTGTGACTGTGTGTGTGTGTGTGTGACTGTGTGTGTGTGTGTGACTGTGTGTGTGTGTGTGACTGTGTGTGTGTGTGTGACTGTGTGTGTGTGTGACTGTGTGTGTGTGTGTGACTGTGTGTGTGTGTGTGTGTGACTGTGTGTGTGTGTGTGTGTGACTGTGTGTGTGTGTGTGTGTGACTGTGTGTATGTGTGTGACTGTGTGTGTGTGTGTGTGCCAGTATGTGTGTGACTGTGTGTGTGTGACTGTGAAACTGTGTGTGACTGTGTGTGTGTGACTGTATGTGTGATTGTGTGTGTGTGATTGTGTGTGTGTGATTGTGTGTGTGTGATTGTGTGTGTGTGATTGTGTGTGTGTGCAGTTGTGTGTGACTGTGAAACTGTGTGTGACTGTGTGTGTGTGACTGTGTGTGTGTGATTGTGTGTGTGTGATTATGTGTGTGTGATTGTGTGTGTGTGATTGTGTGTGTGTGATTGTGTGTGTGACTGTAAAACTGTGTGTGATTATGTGATCAAACACAAGTGTATCAATTTTACCTACACCTACACATATACAGTATAGGTCATTGCTAAAAAGGATATGAAAATTGCATAAATAACAAATTAAAGTAGAGAGGAAGATAAAATTCCCATTACGTCAGAATGAGCAAGATTCTCCTCCCCCCAAAGATATCATATATAGAGCACATGTACCGAGAGTCAGTTATTAAACTTTTCATAGTCACCTTCCCTGAAAACAGCCAGCTAGTAGTTGCTTGAACTGAAACAATCAAACCTTTATTTTGTTGCTCAGCAGTTCAAATGTGTCTAGACATTGACTCATGGAAAGGCCAAAGCATGTGGAAAGACAATAGTGAAACTATGATCAGATCATAGCACAAGATGAAGGGCATTCAGAATAACCAAAATAAATTATACATACTGTTTTGTAATTCATCACCAAGTATTGACTTTGTATTTCTAAAATCACTGCACATGTGCATGTGCTGACCAACCCACCCACCCATGAAGCATTTTCATGTTTAAAGAAATATGCAGCTATAAATGATACTCACGCTGAAAGAAAGCAAATGCTGCCTCACATTAAACAAACAGTTCCAGGAAAGCGCATTTGAAAAATGTCCCACTACTACATGCTTTGTTATTATATATTTGATGAAAATTTAAAATGTTGACTTAAGTAGTTTCAAAAAATAGATATTGGTACACTTAAAGGTCATTTACATTTCACCAATCACACTCTTCGTTTCAAACGACCTAGGTTTTTGCCTCATTCATAAAAACCGTATTTCACTTTGTTTACACTGGAGTGGTTGCTAGATGTACAAAAGTAGAACCCAGCAAGTGTGATGAAATATAATTCTGGAACTCGACATACATCCCATCCCAGTGTCAGTTTGTTGAGTTTCACAAAAAAAAATGTAAGAAATGTGCAAGTATTTAGAAAAAATAATACTACATACTTTTATTTACGTCACTGTTATTTTAAGTTGTAATTTCATTTAGAGGGAAGTATAATAAAACAGCCTATGCAGTACCCTATTACAAAAATCTAACAGTTCTTTAAAATCACTTTTTAACCAAATCAGAATATAAAGAGAAATAATAAAAAATATTATGGAGAACATTTATAATATATGTAGTTAGTTGTACTAATAAATAATAGTATAAATTAATAGTAGTATAACTATTTTTAAAAATAAGCTTTAGATATATATTTTTTTAAATATCAAGATACTACATATACACATTCATTTTGTTCACTTTCAGATCAGTATGGCAATTTTTGTTCTAGTTCCACAAAAGGATGCACTTGACCCTTGGATCCAGGTGACGCAACCATCTAGTCGTGAAAAGAATTTGGCTGAGGCCTGGGGGATGTGACTGTTATGTCATGGAAAAATTGGACTGTCACTGTTACTGCTATTGTTACTGTACAGAGATATAGACTGCCTCGAGAGATGATATGGAGTCTGTGCAAGGAAAGCATATAGACCTTGGAAAATGGGGGCAGGGAGGATATGTTTATGCAGAAAAAGATATAATAATATTGCAAATGGGAGGCACGGAGTCTTGACATCTCACTCACACTAGTGTTTGTGTGGGGCAGCCCTGCAAGCCATATACCTGAAGAGTTGCTACTCATGTAAGTCTAATACCCAGAATTTAGGCCACATGCGAGCAGCGAAGCACCTGGATCCAACTGGTTATGTACTTATTTTTATCCAAAGAACGTAATTTTTCAAAATTTGCAAAAAAGTAAATAAACAAATAGGCCTTCATACCTCCCCAAAACTAGGTTTTCTTCCATTGCAGAAAATATGTTCTGTGTCATTCACAGGAAATTGCATTTCAAAAATGAAATGAACAATTTTTAAAAATCAGTGGGGAAAACAACACTGCACATTTACGTTAATAATTTTGGTAGTGCTTTTTCAAATTTAATAGAAAGAAAATCTAAGTCTTAGGTTTTTTATATGCTAGTCTCATTCACTGATTAAAAATATATTGACCTATAAAAAAGGATGGTCCCCTTAAATATATCACTAATTTATTAATCTCTTTAAATACATTAAAAAAAATTATTCAACAACTAGCTTACATATACCTGTTAGACTGCATAGGTGGAGAAAGATGTTCACGCTGTACATGGTGAGAAAATTGGACTCTTGAATCACATGAAAAGCTACACTTGCAACAGACAAACTGTTGCTTATGCTGAAATAGATGAGCTTGTAGTCTTGAAATGGATGGAAATGCAACACTGCACATAAAACATTTGTATAGTTCCATCTTGTCACCCGTCTCTTCATTGACCCCTAAAATCCTGGACACAAGAACCTGGAACATAATAAGCCTTAGATGTGTTTACTTCTGTCAGGAGTAAAAATAAGTGTAGTAACCTCTTTTTATTCCTATACTTTCTGCTACCATTCAATTATATCTCAGAATCTAACAAATCAAAATGAAATAGTCACAATCAGATCATTTATATTTAAAATGACAATGTTTATATCTCTCTTTTCTTTTTTGATTTCCAGCTCATGAAGTAAAGCTCTTATGGTAAGGGGTCTATAACCTCAGAGACATAGTATGTATATCACAAGGACTCAAAAACAAATATTCCATAGTCCCACATAACAAACAAGTACAGAGTCATGGTAAATTTTCAAATTTTCCATATCATGGGCATGGTAGTATGTAATTATGTTAATCCTTTTATTATACTGAAGTGTATTTTCTTAGGATTGTCATAATAATTGGTTATATACTTTGTTATTACTGATACTCATTTATGTTGTTAGTGACATGTATAGATATTATCATCTTTATAATAGGGCATGAACAATAGTGAAATTTAAGGGACTGTGAGAGGCAAATAAAACTACCCTATTCAGCATAAATCTTGTATATAAGAACAAGGGAGAAGTTGCTTGCTCTCCCTCCCTCAGTTATAGCCTTATGGATCAATGCCGTTGTAAATAGTGAACCATAGCAGTATCATATTATTATTAAAGTAGTGGAATAGAAGTGTTTCATACCCATTCCAGCATGTGCATTTATTTCAGGAGCATTTGATACATTTTTGAATGAGAACTATGTATAAAGAATAAACAAGCAAGAAAGTACTATTGCATGAAAAAGTAAATGCTCCATGTCAATGGACTAAATGAGTACAATCTATACAAGAAAACCCATGAAATGCTCAAAAAGACAGACCCACCTCCTGCTCCTACCTTTCAAGAGCTGGCAGGGGATAAGGGTCTGGCAGGGGAGGCAGTGAGAGTCTCATCCATTTGCTCTCAAGACATTAACACAGTTCATTGTATTGTATAAAATTTGCCACCCTATTATTAACCTGAGTATATGATTTTTTCATTGACAGGTATTGCTAAGATAACTTGAAATCATAAAATCAAGCACAAGAGTCACATTATAGTATAATTACAATAGCAATGACCAATTCAGAAGTAGAAACGGAGTCCGCTTAACCCCTTGGTGCCAGGTGACGCCGATCGGCGTGTACACAAAGAGCTCGAAAGCTGGCGTGCAGCCGAACGAGCCGGCGGCGCGCCAAAGCGCGGCGAGCCAGTGATTCAGGCTGATGTCCCCTACTCACGCGCTCAAAGTCGGCGCGCCGCCTTTGTTTGTTTAAGTGTAGAGTTTTTTTTTTCTTTTGTACACCCGGCGCCATTGGGTTAAACATTCCCATAAATCATTTGAAATCATGCTGTGGGGTGTTATCGAAGTTCAGCAATGGTGGACAAAATATTAAAATAGTAGTGGGAAAGGGGTCTTTTGTAATGGTTTTGCCATCAAAATTAAATTGATAAAAAAAGCTTATAGTGACTTAATTTATCCAATGCTTGGAATATTCCTTTGTATCTCCCACGAATTACTTCTTTTGAGCAGTATTAGAAAGACTCACAATAAAGCATACTGCCAGAGTGCACACAGTTCAACAATACTAATGATTAAGCCACATAGTTAAGGACAACAGATATAGCTTTCTCTAAGTTGCTGGACTGGTTTTTGCTATAATTCAACAAATCAGTGTGAAATTGATCCCAGTTGCAACTGTAACAGTAAAAAACAACATGAACTAACCAATGAGCCAAGCTGCTTGTTGCCATGGTAGTTAGGTTATTTAATTCAACAGACTCGTAGAATAGTAGTAAGAAAGTCAAATTTACACATAATAAATAAGGTTATTTCTTGGAAAAGATGACAATATTAGTAACTTTCTGTCTGCAACAGGCATTATTTATTAGAATGCAAAAGCCACATAATTATGTCCTATTACTTATGGTGATCCGTTTGCTGTCTGCCTTTTGAGTGTGATCATGTGGTGTCTTAACTATATCTTGACCAGAAATATTTGTCATGGAGGTGGTCATACAAATTGTAACTTATAAATAAAAAAAGAAGATCATATGCAAGTCACTATCATTCCCAGTTGTGCATTTGCAATGCTGAGAATGTTTTTAAACAGTCTCATGTAGGGGTACATGAAATTCTATAATTATTATCATTATTTCTTTTTTTTAAGAAAGAATAGTCTAACGCTCCTCTGTGTCAGAAAGTTGTTCAGGAATATTCCTAGCAACCTGGCAGGAAGTTAGTTCAGGATGGCTGAACGTGCAAATTGGTGCACTGAGTCTATGGGTTATAACACACGGTTTTATGTCATCATCTTGATAGTAAATAAATAGAAATGATATAGCAAATTTAACCAATATGATGCACAGTGATAACATTTTCTGGACAAATGGGTGAGATCCCTACCCCTAGGCCTCTCTTTGCAGACCCTTCTTCCCTGCCAACCTTCCTACCTCATGCAACTGATCACGCAGACTGGTGAAAGGGGTAGGAAGGGAAGGGGGTTCAGAAACTTTGGATTGCGATAGCACATATAATGTACTTTTTATTTCTAGAAAAAACTTAGTGATATATTTGTGTGCCCCTTAGCAAGATATTTTATGGAAAGAAAACTCACTTAATAAAAGAAAAACAAAAGGAAGCTAAATACCTGTTCTGCATACAATCGCACACTATACACCATTGGAGGCCCATCATCGCTGCTTACACGCATTCTTCTTAATGCACCTCCTGCTCCATACAAGGGCAGAGGTGGTGGGGGATCTAAACCTGTAGAGTCTTCAGTAAGATATTGTTCATTTTGTGCGATGTTGAAAAAGGCCTTCTCTTTTTCTCTTGCTTCATTTACCAGATTCTCATTTTCATCTTCTAAGGGTCCTCTATCTGATAACACTGTCTGATTTAGTGGTTCTGCAGGGCCAGGCTCAGAGGTGTCAGAATTATTAAATTCATTTTTTATTATACTGACATGAGCATTATGGTGCTCTCGTGACTCTGGTGTTGATGCTGCAGCTGGTCTTCCATAATTCTTTACAACCACTGGCCCACGGCAACTGAGGTCCAGTGGAAGGCTATTGTCTTCTGGAGGCATGATGAAAATTCTTTGTTCAGACTCTATCTGAAATCAAACATTTTCAGTAAGTCATTATTCATTACTGAATGGAAGTTCTCATGTTAAAACAACTTGAAATGATAAATAAGATTAAAAAATTTCAATAAGGACAAACAAAAATAGAAACAGTGTACCCTGTAAAACTTACTTGTTCATTCACTGCATTTTCACGAATTCTCTTTTTATCGGAGGATGGACTGGTGGCTAGGTCAACTGATCTTTTGGATCCACTATTAGAACCATTAACCAGCTAAAATACATAGAATCATACTTGTAATAATCATCAAGATAAATATACATTAAAATAATACCTCAAGAAACACAATATTATAATACTGATTAAAAAGACCACACCAAGTGCTAAAACAAACTTAGAGAGAGAGTGAGAGAGAGAGAGAGAGAGAGAGAGAGAGAGAGAGAGAGGAAGAGGAAGAGGAAGAGAAAGAGAAAGCGAGAGAGAGAGAGAGAGAGAAAGAGAGAGAGAGAGAGAGAGAGAGAGAGAGAGAGAGAGAGAGAGAGAGAGAGAGAGAGAGAGAGAGAGAGAGAGAGAGAGAGAAAGAAAGAGAAAGAGAAAGCGAGAGAGAGAAAGAGAAAGCGAGAGAGAGAAAGAGAAAGCGAGAGAGAGAAAGAGAAAGCGAGAGAGAGAAAGAGAAAGCGAGAGAGAGAAAGAGAAAGCGAGAGAGAGAAAGAGAAAGCGAGAGAGAGAGAGAGAGAGAGAGAGAAAATTATTACAATATAATATAAATTTACTTAAAGAGTAGTGTAAATTCACTGCAAAACCACAGGGTAAAATGGCAAAACATCTATCCAAACACATTAGTTTTACATGCCTGAAAGGCTGTCCACCGTGCTTGTAATTATTCATGTCACTGATCGAAAAAACAATAACTTTTATACCACTATAGGGGGTCATTAACAGATGCCCCACGCCATGTGCCCGGTGGAAGCTCACTGCTTGTGCTCGAGGATGATCATGTCTTGGTTAGTTCATGTCCAGCAGCTGACATGATAAGGTCAGTCTAGCCATCACCCTTCAGGGCTGACTGGTCAGACACATAACCCCGCGTTCAGCGCTTACCCAAGACATCGTCTCAAGTGTTCCCTTCTCTGTGTAGTACTCTTCATTAATGGAGTCAAGCCATTTTAAACAATCATGAATACCCCTGCAAACCATTGTACCAAAGGTTCTATAGCCTTTTACAAACTGGTGGCAGGGTGGTCGTTGCGGCCTTTTGGCTCGCAACACGGACGCACACAGTCTCCAAAGTCCATTTGACCATCGCTCCACGATCAACCATGTCTCAAAACCAGGTGAGTACACGTTTTGGGCCTTTTCATTTTTTTCTTCTCTTCTTTTCCCATAAATCTGTTAAAATGTATGTGCAGTCATTCTCACAATGGTTTTACTGCATAAAAGTGCTAAGAGACAGCATATGACGCATTCTCACACTATTCTTCTGACCTTAGATAGTATTACTGTGTGATCTTACCGTCCCTTTCCCTTCTGGTCGGCTGGGTATGTGGAAGGGCCATGAGATGTTCGCTCATTTTTCCCGTAATTTGGTTATTGTTGTTGACATCATGGGGATAACTGTAGGATTGTTGCATTGCTCAAAAGTGACATGTTCTATTGGCGCCTGAGCGGATTTTCATATAACTTTATTATTTTGAGTATATCATTAGAATCTTCCCCATATAAAG